CTAACCACTTGTGCGAATTCCTGTGGCACCGGGAACAAAAAAAGTTCCGAAGAGATCCATTTCTGTCTCTGTGCAAAACGATATCTGAAGTGACACACAACAATCCCACTTAAGACAACATGTGATAGACATCTACTTATTTTGTAATTGAAATTATGTCTCAAGTAAATTCATAAGTTACCTTAAACATAAGATTTTTTTCCACTGTTTTCTGACAAGAAAGAAGTGTCATTTTTTGTTATTTGGAATACGTTTAATTTTATAAATTTGTTATATTAAAATTGAATCATGGTGCAAATAATTGTTTTACATCCCCAAATCATAAACTCCTCAACCTGTACGAAATTATGAACATTTCTCAAATTAACCGCCCCAAAAACATACAAATGAAAACGAAACCAACTCCTAAAAGGTACCTGAAATGATGAATTTTTCAAATTAACCGCCCCAAAAACATACAAACGAAAACGACACCAACTCCTACAAGGTACCTTTCATAGCCTTTCCATGCAGTCCGAGTACCGAACTCCTAATGGAGTACCGTTCATGGACTTTCCATGCAGCCCGAGTACCGAACTTCACCCGTGATTTTAATGCTCTCATTTTTCCATGCTTCTGAACTTCCCTGGAACTTCCTGTCCCAGATCCGTCCGGAAACGACCGGAAATGCACCGCGAGGCTCGACTTCCGGTCGGCCAGCGCTGACGCGTCGATCAGCTGTTCGCCGACTTTCGAGAAAACTGGAAGAAAGTGCTCTGTTTGCGTCCCGAAATTTGTCAACAGATCGCCCGATTACACGTGTGTGGAGGTTAAATTATCCGTTTACCCTGATATGATTATTCCGATTACTTGAAAGATTAGTCTCTCGTTCGGTCCCGCATTCCGTGGCTTGTTTGTGAACCTGTCGATCCAGTAAACACCGTGGGTGCAGAGCAGATTCTCGGGACCTGTGTTCACGCTTGTAATCGTCATCATAGAACGTGACCGCCTGACAAGTGGAAATGGCTGGTAAGAACTCTCATTTAATTTCCTTTCCCCTTTTCAAACTCGAACCTCGATCGCTGATCGGACGGTTAAAACATATTCCCGAATCTCTCTTGCTCAGACATGCATTCGTTTCTCACCTGGGTCTCCAAACCTTATCAATAGCACATGCCATATTGGGTATTCGACCGCTCATCATCAAGTGCAGCTTTCTCAATTGGGTTTCTATCCTTTCATCAGTATTATTCTGGCTGTTACTTCCATTTGCATACCATCTTTCTTAATGCTTTGAGTTGCGCTAGTGCACCAGTCATGTGCTAATGATATCGCTGCACCTGCTATCTCTTATCAGTGCAAGGGTTTCTGGAGACCTGGAGTGATGAAGCGTGATTATTCTAGTCACAGGATCGTTGATTGAGACTCTTTGAAGGTGTTTTAACCTTATTCTCCCATTGAATATTTCATCCGAAAATCTCACCTGCTATCTCTTATCAGGACACTAGTCTTCGTAGACCTAGAGTGTAAGCGCACAATGATTTCAGTCGCAGGATCTTAAATTGAGATTCTCTGAGGCTGTCTTAACTCTATTCTCCTAATGAGTATTCCACCAAAAAATCTATTGGATGGAGCATTATGTTGCAGGTTGTATGTAATGTCTTCTTGATGCTAAGCGAAACACCCTCAGGTGAAACAGCATGTGAGTTTTCAATCTTGTGATGTTACATAATTCTGCACCTGAGTCTGGTGCCAAGAAATGCCTCTCATTAGTTGGTTGCACAACTCTCTTGTTGCAACTTGATCGGTTATGATCCTCTGCTATGAGAGCTTATGAAGACAGGCACTATTACCTGCATCAGTCTTGAATGCCTGGCTTTTCCTTATTGCTGTTCAGCTTTTGAGAATTGGTAGGAACCAGATTAACTGTCGCCAGAAAACAGGTGATGTCAGTCAGAGGCCTTTTATCCAATCATCCTTACTCAGATATCTCATTGTCCCAAGCAGTTTCATTCAAAATCAACTGGGGAAAATTTCCATATCCTACATTAACCCAACGCTCTCACCTACAGTGACAGTGGTGTGTTGTGCCTTGCTAAGAATCAATTGATCCACCTACCGTCAAAACCTATGGGAAAGGATTGATTATCAGGGATTGAAGAGGGGTGGGAAGAACCTCATTGTTCATCCCACACATCGTTCTAGGTGCTTGTGCCAAGATTGAAGGTTGTTTCACTGCGATCTGCAGCCTCAGTAGCGATTTTGTCAAAGTGCGATAAATCATCGTGACTTGAATGGCAGAATGTGTCTTTAGAGTGATTGCACGAGAAAAGGTTAAGTAGTCTTGCCAGTTTCATTTCCAAGTATTTTCACGGCAATGATACGAATTCATCGAAATAGAACATAGTTGCCATTGGGAATCTTATTTTTGCACTTGAATAAGATTCCTGCAAAAAAATAAATAAGACATTATCGTCACTCAAACTTTTGGATCGCAAAATGAAATGTCGGTTACGCATTACCAATAGAGAAAAAATGTCTTGTTGGTTAGGTAACTGATAGAACCTTTTAAGGTCTGGAAGTCTTGGTAACGATAATTTCTTATATTTTTTTGCATGAATTAATGCTTGGTGACAACTTGACGAGAGTTTCAAAAATAGTTATATTCTTCTTTTATTAGGCACTGAAATTGCTGTATATCTTAGAAAATTCTAAAAACTAAACTGGCGACACTACTATTCCCATTATTGTGAAATCACCCTTTAGTGGCTCTATTTCCCCGAGCAAATACAAATACATGTTTTGGAGGTATTTTCAGTAGCAGAATTTCAAAGGTGGCTAAATTTGGTCCCTGCAGGAGGAGTGTCTTGCCGCAATCACATGCTGAATGTGGGACCTGAATGTAGCTTGAATGTGGAAGTCATCGGCCGGATGCCTGAATTTTGCGCGAGACGCGCAAAATTCAGCAATGATTCTCAGCGACCATCGGATAATGTCGGATTCGTCTGAAATATTCAAATAGATTTGATACACATTTGGATGAAAATAACTCAAATTAGTGAAATTTTAGCTGTTGAGCGCTGACTGTTGACTGCCACATTCAGCTGCCAAATTCAGCGTGTGATTGCGGCATCTCCTAAAATTTGTCAAATAAGCCAAAAATACCCACCCGTCCCATAAAGTGTAGCCTTTAAGGCCTTTGCATAACATCAATGAGGCCAAGCGTTAAAAAGCCATCAAGCGTTTCTTTATTGTCAAAGCCTCTTTTTCTCTTACAAGGCAATGTATAACTGAAAGAGAAATCAGAAATTTAGTCTTACTGCAAATTTTGTTCTTTTTCAATTTTATTTAACTAAAAAATTTGAATCATGGTTAGCTACTATGAATTTCACTCTGAATACTAAGGTAGCTTATGTTACTTTAAGGTAACATGAGCTACCTGGTCTGGATAAAATTATAGAAACTTACAATAATTACTCATATCGGTCCTTTTGTTCTCACAATGACCAAATGGAGAGTACTTTTCATTTATTTCAGGGAAAGGTACAACCCATGAAAACATCGCATGAAACAGATTAACGTCAGTCTCAAAACACTTCTTTTAGCGCATCCCTTTAAATGTAATTCTTTGTTGCATTGTCTTAAATTTTCTATTGCCCTCATTACCATTCATATTTTCTCGTTTTTCTATTTTTAGAGCACCCTTACCAAAAGTTCATTAAGACGGTAGCAGATGGTGATAAGACTTACAAATACTTTGATCTCCCACAAATTAATAGTAAATATGGTGAGTTGTATTATTTTCATATGAACAGGCGAAAAAAAAATTGATTCTCAAGTGCATCTGACTTTATTGTTGCATTGGAAAGCTAGGAAGAATACATTTACCGGGAAAATGTAATTGAGTAGCTTCTAAAGTGAGAAACTTTCACTCCTGTCTTCGATTTACTGATATACAGCATGGATGGACATCCCCAATCCTGAAGGATGTTGATATATTTATCGTTGCAAGTTTGTCAGGAACGGATGAAAATGTCAAAAAAAGAGAGAAAATTTTCATAGCTTTTTGCTAACTTTGAGAAGAACACTAATGGCTGAATGTAAAAAATGCCTTTCTCAGTTGCAACTTTTAAAAATCTTCAAGTACCCACTGTTTTATTTTCTCAAAGGGTAACCAACCAGAATGTTTTCTTGCCATTTTGTGTAATTTTTTTCGAATGAGTGAAGAAAATTGCAACATTGATTTCAGCTAGTTTTCCTTTAAAAAAGTAAAACTGAAGCAAAAACTTCAGTATACTGTTGCGATCTAAAGTACGCATTTGTCAACTTTAGCCATTGATAAGACTTTGATTGAGGATTATTTTTTTTTTAGTTTTAACATGTCTGTCAGGCTCTCACTGCATAGAGTGAATCTAATACTTTTACTTTGTGCCTGTGACCAAATACTTAAACGCTCATGGATTTTTTTTGATCATTCTTTGAATATTTGCCTCCAGAAAAATTACCATACTCCATCCGAGTCTTAGTAGAGTCAGCTGTCCGAAACTGTGACAACTTTCAAGTAACAACCAAAGATGTTGAAAATGCCTTTGACTGGGCGGAAAAGCAAAAGGTTGAAGGAGGTGTTGAGTTTGCGTTCAAACCTGCCAGAGTTATTTTACAAGTAAGTATAATACAGTAAATTGAAGTTTCTCTTAGCTAATTCTGAAATAAATTCAAATTGTCTCTTCAGGCCGTTTAGTTTTTATTTAAGTAAATCAGTGAAAACTGTCAATGCATTCAACTTCAGAGAATTAATATCTCCTTAGCCCATTTACCCTCTTATGCCATGTTCTTTAAATTCTCATTTGAGATTGAAGAAAACACATATTTTTATTATTGAGTGTATCCAACAGCTTGCAACCTTACTTATTTCAGATGGAAAATGTATACAACATAGATGCTCAAAGATATGAGAGGAAAGGAGCCAGTTGAAAATTGATGAAAATAATGTTTAATGCTCAGTGATGAGGGAGTGTCAGGTGATTTTTTAAGGAGATGGAGAGTATTTGCAGTTAGATCTTGATATTACCAGAAAGTGTCAAAAATTCGCTAAGTACGCTGCGAGTTTGAAAATAGTGGGCAATAATGTAGAAAGGAACTTTTATTTTCTTTACCTCATGAATATTGCCTACTACCAAAGAGGCACTCTCAAATTTTTTGTCAATCCTGTTTTTCTACGTCCATTGAAAAACGGTGGTGCTGACGATTTCTATCATTCACATCCTGAACTGTAACTCACTGTCGTGCAATGATACAATGTTAAGTGCACTTTCAGAAATTTGCCATTCACTTGGAAATTATTATGATCAATGATACAAGTTCATGCAAGTTTTGTTTACTCCTACTAGGATTTCACTGGAGTGCCTGCCGTAGTTGATTTTGCTGCCATGCGAGATGCCGTGAAAAGTCTCAATGGAGATCCGGAGAAAATCAACCCGATCTGTCCATCTGATCTAGTAATTGATCATTCTGTTCAGGTGGATTTCGTTCGAACGTAAGCAGCATTATTATTTTACCGCTAATGTAGAAACAAGAGATTTGTGTTGATTTTCCTCATTCTCATGGGGATCCTATGGCAAGTTATTCAAAAATTAACTATGGGGAGTTGCTTTCAAGTAAAATGCTTGAAAAAGTAAACCAACCTGACAGGAAGAAAAAAGTAATTACTAATAATGCCAATTAGTAATTTTCAGCAATGAACCTTTACGAATGAGAAATGATTAAAAGTCGTTGATACCATCCTTCCCATTTGATTTTAACACATATCCAAAGCCAATGACAAGCCTTAGAAGAAACTCTTTTTTCAGATAAAACAAGAGACTTTTAAAACTTGGAGAGTTTTTGTTGAAGAAACAAAAATAACATCTGAAAAAGTTACACTAGAGAGCAAAAATTTTCATGAGGATTCAAAAGTTTTTGAATAGTCAGTTAAAACCTGAACTAAGCAGTAAATTTGACTTAACCAGGAAAAGTAAATGAACTTGCCATGAAACCTTGAATATTCTTGTCTTGTTGAAACTGTAAACTGTGGTCACTTGCAGTTTCTATCAAAAAAGTTAGAAGTAAATTGTAATTTTATAAAGATTTTTCATGAAAATTATTTTCAAACTGAGAATCCTTGATCAGTCCTGGAAATATCAGGAAATGTAGGCCCCAATTTCTTGGAAACTCACCACCCCATTTAATGAATGCTGAACCTGTCATCATGCAAAAGGGTTTCTTTTTTGTTTTTTCCCCATTCAATTTTTTTACATTTTTTTGGTGACACACTTTTAGTACTCCTTGGTATATGCAGTAATAAATTAATAATCTAATCTCAATCTTGAGGTTATTGTTGATACTAGGCCCTTCCCCTCTCCGTGGATTGTCACATTTGATATGATATTTTCTCTTCATATAATGCATCTTTCATATTTCTAGCTCTGATGCAGCTGAAAAAAATGAACAACTTGAATTTGAAAGAAACAAAGAACGATTTACATTCCTCAAGGTTAGTATTTTTACACATAATTCTATAAGATTTAGAATAGAGGAGCGCTTAAGTATTTTTATAATTTATGCAGAAGGGGAGGTCAGTGCTTGTGTTATGTTACGTAACCATGGGCAGGGTGGAAAGTGTGTGTTACGTTACACTACTTCTAAAAGAAATTTTTGTCTTAACAATAACAAATTGGAAGGTAGGATCCAATTTAGAAATACGTAATCCATAGAAGAGTTGCTCTGCTTTTTGTACCAAAATGCTGAAACAGGAGCTGCAGGATAAAAGAAAGTAAATAAATAAAACAATAAAGAAAGCTATTTTATTTAATTGTCAAACTCAATGTAATTTATCATGAAATCATCCAGCTATACCTCTAATTGGATTGCGTTTTGCAGAAAAGAATCAAGTCACATCAGCTGTTGCCAAATGTAACTGGGCAATTTAATGTTTTACAAAAGAATGTTTGTGCAGATTCTTTTGAAAATTTAAAGAAATTAGCTTCGAACTATGCCGAAAATTCACTGAAATTCGCTCAGAAATTGGCACAATCGTCTTCGTGTAAAACACTACATTGCCCGATTAAATTTGGCAATAGCTAATGTGGCTTGGTTCCTCTTTTCTTAATGCGGTCCAACTATGAGTCTTATACAGCTGAAAGTGTGCTGCGCATCTTATCAATAAATATGCTCTCAGGCCAAGTTTAGCAGAAATACAAGAAGTTCTTTGAAAAAAAAATGAGTTGGGAGTAAGTAGTTTTGAAATCAACCAGACGCAAATTTTTTCCTGTCCTAAATTTAAAGTCAAGCAGAAATATTTTTTGCGCAAAAATAGTCTTCAAGTTTTGTCCTTAACATCAGAGGAAGAAAACCTCAAAACCTCTTCTTCTTGATTCATACTTGCTTTGACTCTCTGATTTTTTGTTAAACTCTTTCTACTCGAAAATTTGTCACTTTTGAAAAAAAATCTGACCTTAAGTAAAGATCTCTGTTTCTTTGTACTTTTTATCTAATCAACTTAAATTAAGTCACAATCCATCGATCTATTTACCCTCCATTTCTGTAATTATGTAATTTCTGTTTCACAGAAGTGCCTTCCTTTAAACTGTATGATGATAAGATCAAATGTATGTAGACTAGATTTTAAGTGTGATCATTTTTGTTGTATTGTATAATAATTTTTAAAAAAAAACTTATTTTGAAACATTATTACTGTAGGAGGAATACCTGAAAATCTGACAGATTTAAACTACGTATACCTATGAATTCCTAGTTACTAATTATCTTCTTAATTTTTTATTTTTTGCTTAAGTTGACGCAACTGATTTGCATTCCAAACAAAATTAACTGCTCTCAAAGTCAGTATATTTTGAAAGAAGATATGGAAGAAATTCTGAAAATATCGACAGTCCTATCTTACTTTGGTGATGATACGCAATGTTTCAATCTAATTTTTCTTCTTTTTTTCTTGCAGTGGGGAGCCAAAGCTTTCCAAAATATGTTAATAGTACCACCAGGCTCTGGAATTGTTCATCAAATCAATTTGGAACATCTGGCTCGTGTTGTGTTCATGGATGGCGATACCCTCTACCCAGATTCAGTTGTTGGCACTGACTCCCACACTACCATGATCAATGGTCTTGGTGTCGTAGGCTGGGGTGTTGGAGGTATGTAGCAGAAGTGGATTTATCTTTAAAAATTAAAATTTACAGGAAGTAAAAAACATGAATGCAGTTATACTATGGTTGTAAACATTCAAAATTTATTTTACATTTTCTAAATTTAAAGCTATGACAGCGCTCAAAATTTACCAGGGGATTGGAACCAAAATGCTTACTGGGAATTTAGGATATTACTGGCAAAATTGAAGTCCGTTGCTCTAACTTAAGAGTCAAGTACAGAACTTTCCTTCATTACTCTCGCCTAAAAAAACTTTCACATGGCGCAAGCTAAGAATCATCTATGTAAGGTAATCAAATTGATTATTCTCCAAATGAAATAAGCCCCATTCTAAAAGACAGGAGTTGCCGTTGCATTTATTTAGGCAACAAAAATTTCTGAATCATAAATTAATCGTCTTTGGTTTTCTGAACCAATGCTAAGATTACTAGTAGGTAGCATAAGTTTTTCTTGGTTTTTTTGAAAGCCTGTTTGTGACACTTAATTCATTTGGAAAATGATCAGTTCAATTCTGTTGTTGTGTGTTATAAGCTTCAAATTTTGAGTGAATCCTTTCAAAACAACCACCAAAAATGAAAGAGGTCTATAATGATGTTGGTTTCCAAAGCCTCAGTCTGAATACCTCGACTGGTTTGGTGGCTACGTCGTTCAACAACGTTTTCACCCAGAAGAAATGGACTGTTTTGATACCAGTGGCTTTGCTGTGCTCTTTAAGAGTGGCACAATTTAATGGCGGTAAATTGAATAATGAAGCCACTAAAGCCACTATCATAAACACAAAGTAAGGAGTTTTTATCAAGACTTTGAGGAAAATGAGAAAGAGTATGTAATTATCTAAATCAAATCTGAGCTTGATAAATGATGCCTAGCTACAATGAACATTTCTTATGTGCAGGAATTGAAGCTGAGGCTGTCATGCTAGGACAAGCCATCTCTATGCTTCTGCCAGAAGTTGTCGGATACAAAATTGTTGGAAAACTGAACCAGTATGCCACTTCAACTGATCTTGTTCTAACCATCACAAAAGTAAGTCTGAATTATTAGCCCTCTTGGTTTTCCAAATTGATTTTCTTTTTTAAAATCTTGAATTAATGGGCTAAAAATTTTCATTGGCTAGTCAATGGCTTACGAGTAATACCGCCCATCTGTAAACTGATGATTTTGTGGAACGAAGAGAAAACTTTTTTGTTAGTCATTTTTGTAATTTTAAGGTTAGACCTGCAATTTTTTCATACATTACAGCAGTATGGAAGTGCTTCCCCACAGAATTGGAAAAAACTGAAGTCGTCAGCTTGTGTATTTTATACTGTTGAATGCGGCGAAGTTGTTAACTTTTTTTTGCTAAAGTTGTCAGTTAGGCGGTATTGTTTGCGAACCCTCGTAGTGTAGGTAACATATACTCATTGCTCTCCTTACTTAATGAGAGTTTAGATCTACAACTCAATTGAATTGGCTTGATTGCAGCATAATAATCCATTTCAGGGTGTCTAGCGACCGGGAAAACCGGGAAAGTCAGGGAAAGTCAGGGAGATGAAATTGGTCCGGGAGAAGTCAGGGGAAGTCAGGGAAGAAAAACGCAGAACCGGGAGAGAAGCGAACTCCCGTCGAAGATCGCGATTTTTTGAATAACTTCACGGCGCTTCGATACTTAGCCGTGCAGCGCTCTCTCCTGGTCTGAGGTGCCATCTGAACCGTTAGTGCTGACGTAAATAAAGAGACTACATAGCGTAGTCTCTTTATTCTATGGTGCTGACTAGTGGTGCTCCCTCTCTCTATCGCTGTGTTGCGTCCGCGACGCCTCCTTTAGCGTCCGCGACACCTCTGGAAGTGCCCCCGACGCCTTTTGAAGCGTCCACGACGCCTTTAAAGCGTCTGCGACGCCTCCTTCAGCGTCTGCGACACCTTTGGGAGTGTCAGCGACGCCTGTGCAAGCGTCCGCGACAACTTTAAGGCGTCCGTGACGCCTCCTTAAGCGTCCACGACACCTCTGAAAGTGTCCGCGACGCCTTTTTAAAGCGTTCACGACGCCTTCCAAGCGTCCAGGACGCCTCTGGTAGTGTCCGCGACGACTTTTGAAGCGTCCATGACGCCTTACGCAACTTAAGGCGCGTCTGTCCGCGGCGTCCTGGACGCCGGCGGAAAATGCTGCTACCGAGTCGAGGGC